GGGGTCTGTGGGTGTGTGCGCGCACGCGCGTGTGTGTGTGTGTGTGTGTGTGTGTGTGTGTGTGTGTAGGAATGTCTATGTGTGTATGTAGAGGTATGTACAGTTGTATATGTGTATAAGGCAAATGGGGATGTATATGGAGTAGGGGTGCTTAGAGGCGTGTCTATGTGGGGGTAGGAGTATGTAGGGATGAATTTAGACAAAGGCAGGAATACGCAGGGATATGTATAGGGAAGAGGGATTAGGGATGTGAAGGGGAAGGAAAATATAGGAGTGTGCATGGGGGGAGGGGTACACAGGGCTGTATGTCAGGGAGTATATAGGGCTGTGACATATTAGACCTTATTCTCAAATTTCTGAAACGTGCACAAAACAGGAAAGAGAAAGAAGTCAACGATTTATTAAATGTGCAATCTTGTATGCTTCCCAAGTGATGTTTTTCCAGCTTCAGTGTAACCAGCAGTCCCACCTCTATCTCTGAGCCGAGACTGGGCAGAGCCCCGCCTGCCCACAGCCCTGGTGCCTGCAGTAGCCTGCCTGCAGAGCCCACCCTCACCTGCAGGATGGGTGGTGGGGAGGCGAGCTGAGGGAGGGGCAGCACCCACCTTTCGCACTGTGTTCCTGTGTATCCGGGTTTGCAGGAGCACTGCATGTTTCCCCCAGTCACAACACAGCCGGTGGCAAAACTTGAAGGAAGACAGAACAAAGCCACAGTGAAAACATACCTCGACAGGCTTTATGCTCATTATTTTTTGCTACAAAGAACTGACTTGCATTAAGTGAACACAGAAGCTAAGGGTCTGGCTACATTTTGTGTAAAGAGAATTTTGCCCATTGAGACTTGCAGACATATGATGAATAATTATCAGCTGATATTGGGCAAATTTTTGTGAATAAAGACTGAAGGCATTTATTTTTGTTTTATTTTTGGCCTGGAGAAATACATTCCTTCCCATAAGACAGAGCAGAGTAACTCATTTTGGAAGAGATGATTACAACAGCATTTTTTCCAGGAATAACAAGGAAGAAATAAAACAAGTCTAGGCAGAAAAAAAGAACAGAGAGTTCTGATTCTTTAAGAAAATTTTCTCCTTGTTTATTCTAGTTCTTTTTATATTGGGCACACTGCCTTCCGAGAAGAAAAGGTGGTGGAGGGACTCGGCCCTCAGAAGCCCAGAGAATAAGGCACAAAGCATGGTTGCCACCTAGGCCTTTCTGTGGGCACAGTCATTGGTGATTTTTACATTTTTCAAATCAAGCTGTGGAATTTTGATTTCCTTCCTTTTAGTTCTAAACTGTTTTTGTGTGTGTGTTCTTTTTTTTTTAAAGCCATATTGCCTTGCGAAATGTCTATGTCTGTGCTTTGAACATTACACTACCATAAATCTGAGGGGAAATAATTCCATTTATCATTTGCTAGTAAGAGAATTCTCATTTTGAGAAGCTTCTCCTGGCCTCTTAGGTGAATCCAGAGTTATAGCTCTAGAGGGACAGTTAGGAATTTATCAGCAGTATTAATATAGCAGAAAGGAGAATTAGATAAAAATAGGGTTTTATTAATAAATATGAGGAACCGCATGTTACATCAACTGCATGAAAGCTAGGAGCACACATGATGTTAGCAATACACTTTGCCACCAAAGAAAAAAGCTTATCTCAAGCACCCTATGGAAATCTCACTGCTTTCTACTCTCTCTAGCTTCTGTTCAAACAAGTCTGGGCTGGCGTCAAGTGATAGATCTCTTTACAAACAAAGCCGCAGGACCGGGCAGGTTTAAGGAATATCAAATACATAGATGGCAAAGCAGGGTAAACATTTCAAATCTGCATCTCCAGAAAAGAACATTCGAGCCAGTGACTTCTGGTAAGTTTAAGTCTTGGCCAATTCTCTGCTACTTGGCTGATATCAATCAGCCTTGTGGTCCACATTTGTTCCAGAGTCTGTGCACTACTAATACTTTATCAGTATCTTCCTAATTTTCTTGCTTCACTTAGTTATTTGTTCTATTTTGCTTGGACCCACAGTGAACATGTCATGATGAACAAGAATATGACAAGGTGCCAAGCCCAAATGGAACATGGATTACCAGGAAAAGAAAATGGCAGCTTTCTACCTACATAATCTATTGGCCACACTGGAGTCTGAGTGACAACACAGACAACATCACTCTGCAGCTCAGAACTGCTCTGTGGCTTCCATCTCACTCAGAGTAAAATCCAAATGCCTAACTCCAGCATGCAAGGTACTACAGGATCTGAACCCTGCCCTGCCAGCCTCAACTTTTACAGTCACTCTTGCTTTCTTACTATTTATGAACGCATCATCACAGATGCTTTCTCTTCTGATTTTTCCTTGCCTGGGACCCACATTATTAAGATATTGCCATGGCTTACTTCATCTCATCATTCATCGGTCCCTGCCCAACAACCTCAGAAAACCCTCTTACCATCCTCTCTAAAGAATCTACTCTCTATCTACCATTTAACCCTTTAACCACTTGCATAACCCATCTCTATCTGAAAGCATACTTCTTATTTGTGCACATATTTATTGAGTGTGACAACTCCCCCTGTTCATATTCTCCAGATAAAACTTCATGAAATCAAAGTCTTTGCCTGTCTTTTTTACTGCAGTTTCCCTAATATCTAGAGAGGGCTAAGTCTTGTAATGGGTGTTCAATAAATAATTGTTTAGACATTGAATGAATAGCAAAAGAAAAGAGGAAAAGAAAAAACTCAGAAGTGGACAACTTGGAAAGACTGTTTTTGTTTTGCATTTTTTGCTTGTTCTTTTTAAAATATAACTGCTTTTTTGAGATAGAATTCACATACCATACAATTCATCCAAAGTGTGCAATTCAATGGCTTTTAGTATACTCACAAATTTAGAATATTTTCATCACCCCAAAAAGAAATCCCATACCCTTTAAGCAGTCATTTCCTATGTCCCTGCCCCTACCCCCAGTCCTAGGCTACCATCAAATGATTTCCTGTCTCTGTAGATTATTTTCAAGCTTCCACAGTACCTGTTTGAATGAGGACATAGGCAGACGCTACAGGATCCCTGTATGGCGTTCCCATAGTAACCCTCTTTGCAGCGCTCACAGTGTTCCCCAGCAGTGTTATGTTGGCAGTTCTTGGGACAAATAAACAGTACAATTAATAGCAGCCAATTACATTTATTACTATTGAGATCATTGTCACCTTAATTACTCACACAATTATAACTAAGTTCTCTGACTCTGTACGATGATATCAGTTCTGCTAACCATTTATTTTTCCTGTCCATTCCTTCAGTGTTGGTGCTAGAAAAAACGTAAGTGTTCTTGCATCAGCTATTTGGTATTTCATTCTGGGAAGCATGATGAAGTAGATAGAGAGACCCGCTGGGTTCAAACCCTATTCCAACATATCATAGTTGTGGGACCTTGAGCAAGATTCTTCAACTCTCTATAACTCGGTGTTTTTATAAATCAACTTTATTGGTGTATGATTTATGTACAATTCTAATTTTCTTAAAATATAAAGTTAGAATAATACTCACTTTCCAAGATTGCTAAGAAAATTTTAAAAAGTCTAATAGGGCCTCAGCAAATGTAAATCCCTTCCCTCTTCCCTTTAGAATTGCTTCTATGAAAATTAACTTATTTGACTTCACAATTTACTTAAAATAAAAAAACCGAAGAGCAATACAATTGAAATAAGTTTTTAACACATGGCATTTGTTAAAACATCAAAAAGTTGGATCATAGATGAAGAAAGCACTCAACTTAATTTCAATCTCTCAAAGAAGCAAGATATTAATTTTATCTAAGCCTGTGTTTATGTGAATCTAATTATTTTGATGTAAAAGTCAAAATCTAATGAACATTGTTCTTCAGTAAAAGTGACACAACCTTGCAACTGAGCAGTCTACTGAGACAAAGCCAAGCAGATTATGTTGAATTTGTTCTCTTTGTAGCCCAGTATAAACTTTCTTGGGCTTACTCTAGTAATAAAGATCTAAGTACACAACAATAGTCAGTCAAACACTTCTTACTGCGGGCATTTGATAATTCAGGGATACTTTGTATTAACTATATGGCCTGGAATAAGAATTTTAAAAATTTGCTTATATACATTACCTCTGTAAGTAGAGATAGTGCTTGAGTAGGAAGTGTTAATGAATGTTAAGTTTTTAAGTAATATCTGGAACTAGGTTGGGAAAAACAATATGTACCTATATCCTAAGTGGGTGGTACTGCTCTGAATGGCAAAGACTGTCTTTCAACCATAAATGTCATCCGTTTGTTCAGCTTAAACAGATTTATCCTTCACAAACCTTTGAATAACAGATTTATACAATCCACTAAGATGTTAACATATCTTTTCACTTTACTTTCCAGATATAAAACATCTACCCTAGTGCTATAAACTCAAGGGATTAGTAAGTATATCAGAAAACTAGGTAGGTCTTTAAAGTAGAAATGCTCACACATTGACGTTTGATCATCACCAGGAAGGTCACCCCTATCCTGAATCCTTCCGCCTTCCCAAAATGTGACTGCCCTGTGGGTTTTCTCCATAGTTCTGGATACTGGTTACAAATCCACACTGCAGTGTATCAGATCCCTCAGTCTCTCAGGGATGATAGGAGAGGTACTAATGGCTTCCTCCATCTTTGCTTTGCCTGGCGCCCCTGACTCTCTCAGAAAACATCCATTCTTTTAAACGTATTAAACTCCTTTCTTTTATAACTCAAAATGATCACTTTAAAAAACAACATGCCTGAATAGATATATTTTAGTTCAATGCCTACTTAGTATTGAGTTGAGATCATTAGAGAAGCAAGAACATGGAGAAACAAGAATTGCAGTGGGGCCACCTGTATCCTACTAAAAACACTGAATGATGGTCCTCCACAGGGGTGAGGGGAGAGGAACATTGAAGGGGGTCAGAATCTGTGTTGCTTGATAAAGTCCTATAAGAATGTCTGAAACACCCTCACCCTCAGTTGACAGCATCTACCCTAGAAGCTGTCTTCATAAGTCCTGCTAATCTGAGGCATCTGCCTAACAAATTGCCTTGTGTTTTATTGTGAATAAATAAATGAGTGAATGAATCCACATCCACATCCACTCCCACAATATGTGCTCTCTTAGCTCCATTTGATACCAAACATCTACCGGGTATTTACTCTATGCCCAACTATGCTAGGTACAGGAATGCAAAGATGGATCGGTACCTGACTCTGCTAGACAGAACCCTGTGAATAAACCATATTTGATGTAATGTGATGACAAAGCTGTGCCAACATCCCATAAGAGTAAGAAGAACCTCAAGAAAGGGCTTCTGGAGGCTATGACGCCTCCTACATGGAAAAGAGAAAGAGAGGAATTAGCTGGGTAGAGACATGAGGAAAGGGCATCCCGGGCACAGGGAACAGTGTCCACAGATCTTCAGTCTTGCAGGAGTGTAGTAGCACATGTAGGTGACATGAAGCAATTGGTATTCTGGAGGCTGAAGTGCAAAGAGGCAGAATGCAGCTGGAGAGGTAGCGGGGCAGATCGAGGGCGACCTGAGGCTGGTTGTGAGCTGCAGAGGACCCCTGCATCAGCTGCGAGTTTCACATAAATCATTCTGCAGGCAAGAGGGAAGATGGGCTCCAGTGGTAGGGAATAAAAAGAAGAAAAACTGAAAGAAGAGGATAAAAAGGGAAAGGGGAAGGGATATAGGATCAGAGAGGAACATGAGGGTGACCGAGATAGTAGAAGGCAAGGAAAATGGGGGGCAAGGAGGAAATGGGATGAGGAGGAGAGAGACAGTGGGCAAAAAGAAGAGGGAGAGGTAGGGCCTCCGTGTAGAGAAGGGAGCCCCTCATCACCACAGGTCCCACCAGCCAGTGGCACCTACAGACCACATCACCTCCTCTCAACCGGGCTACTTTCTTTTCAAACTTTGAAGTTTATTCTTAAAAGCCATGGAGATTTGCCCATGTGTGAAAGTCCCAGATTTTAGACATTGACTTTGGACCTTGAGAGGTGTGGGCCAGTGTACAGAAGAATCAGCCCATTTGATAGTGAAAGGTACTTGGTTTCCTCATTACTGTTCTTTAAGAATGAGGGCTGCATCCTGGGCTCCCATGCAATGGCCACATTTGAGAGCAGTGTCAGCACTCAGTGCCTGCAGTTAAGTGAGTGCAGACATGGGCTCCATGCCTCTCTGTGTGAACATGTGTGTATGCGCATGTGTGCACGCACACATTCCCCACTAGACAGTGAGCCTCGTGAGAGTGGGGATTATGTCTAACGTTTTTCACCCCAGCATTTGGCTCAGTCACTCCCACAACAGCAAATGCTCAGTATGGGTTTCCTGAATGAAGAGTTTCTAGAGGCCACAGGGGCATTAGGGACAAACTACAGAGAAAGGAAATGGGAATGAAAATTTTTTCGTTTGGTTAAAACATGTGATTATGACTCTCATTAGTGATCCTTTCACTGGGTGATTGGACTACAGAGGAAACTCCCTTTGTTCTTCAGCAGATTTTATAAATTAGGCTCATTATTTGGCACTGGTTCAGTGAGAAGATAAATACATTTCATTAAAGCATCTACCTGTGTTACACACAACATACGTTATCAAACAATTATATATGAATATGTATGAACTAAAAATGATATTTCTCAACATCTTTTACTCTTTTTGAACTTACGAGGTGAAAATCCCAAAAAATATTCTATCAGGCTATTTACAACAATTTCCTGTCCTGGCCTGCCCCATCTTGCAGAGGAAGCAGTTCCCTGGGACATGTTGAAATGGCTTAATAAGGTCCAGGAACTCAAATAGTTGAAACACACTCTAGTTGCATTACACAATGAAAAGGAAATCCATGCCAGAAGAATGTATTTCCAAACAGACCCCTAAGTCGGGTCTCTGTGTTTCTGGGGGGGGGCCGACTCTCTCTCCTTTCCTTAGAACTGTCCATTCTCCTAATTGGGGAGGTCCTGGCTCCCAGGGAGAGAAACTCTGATGAAAGAGAAAAAGTCAGCAGAATAAAAACCTCTGTTTCAGGATGCAAAGACAAAATTTCCTGAGGATCTAATTTTCTATGGGAGAATTTTCTAAAATATTCCATAAGATTGTTTCCAGTGGACAACACAGCAAAGACTCCGCTTACCTGTCTTTCCACATAAACCCACTTTGTCTTGGCAGCCATGGAGGGCTTGTGTTTGACTGATTGAGTGCACACATGAAGCTTTTCTTAGCGTGTTTTCTCCCCCAATTGCTTTTTTAAGCTCATCTGACAGCAACAAAACTCCCTTCCCACAATTTCCTGCCACCCTAATGAAATGGGAGCCCAGAGTAATGGCTCCGATTTATTATATCCAAGCAAGAGTTAAGTCTCAGGACGCACCCATTAATATCGTTTAATGAAGCAGAGATTTAGAAGCTAAGGTGTAAATTAATTGTTTAGATAGGTGTTCTCCTCTGATGGCCCATGTTAAAATGAAGGAAAAGTGAAGTGTAAAGTAATTCAGCCTAATAACACTGGAGCCTCCTGCATTCACACATAAACCTCTATTTAGGGTTTGGTAGTAGATGTGACATTTGACGTCTCAGGGCCTAGCAGGGGGGTGCAGTAGGGAGATACACATTGCCCACAGGTAGCATTAGAACATCAATTTACTCACAATACAGATTCCCGAGCCATCCTGGCATCGATTTGAATGTCCGTTGCAACTGCAGGGAACACACCGTCCGGTGTATAAACCTCTGTTATCCCAATAGTATCCGGGGCTACAACCCTATTTTTCAAGCAAAGTGTTTAGTCAATACAAAGAAAGGAAATTATTATCCAAAGCATGTGACAATTCTGACTGTCAAGCCCTTGCTTTACCTTCTTCCCTTTGGTCTGTGTGTGAATTTCTACTTTCAAACACTAGCCAGGTCTACTTGCTTTATGTTTTTGGTCAGGTTCTATTTTGTTTCCACGCCACAGTGGGAGTGTGTGTGTTTGTGCCTGAGTAGGAGTCACATGGTGGGGAAAGCCAGAGAGAGGGAAACGTGGAGGGTGGGTGCAGAAGGGGCTTCCTCTCCTTCTTAGGCCAGTTGTTTTGGGGCAAGTGCAGGCGTGGAGTGCTGAAAGAGCAAAAGGGATTGGGACCTCAATCCTTAGTGGGGAGGACCTCTAAGCAAATCCCTCCAAGTTCAAGTTCTCTTTGGTAGCCATTCCCTGTCCAAGTATGGATTTGGGCTGGTGAGAGATTTGGGCTGGTGAGGGAGTCTTCATTGGGATCTACACAACCATGGCAGGACTGTGGAATCATTTCACTGCCACTCATCAGACTGTGGGCAAACTGGGAGGGCAGGGGAGAGGAACATGCTTGCATTCTTATATCAAACTTTTCAGATATGTTTGGTTCTGACTGAGCATTAAAAGACCCAGTTCCAGAAAATCTCCCGTGTGGTCTTCTCTTGTTCAATATCACTTTGATTATTTCTATCTCTAGTATATCGTCTCTTTCCAGTGTAACACAAGTTATTATTTTTCATATGGATGAAAGAATTACATTTTTTTGATGAACTAATATAGTTTTAAAGGATTCTAGTTAAAAACACCTCCAACAGAAAAAAAAAATATTCTTACACCAGACTCTAAAAATTATTTAGATTCCTGTCTTTAGAAAGAATTGTAGACATTTTCATTACTTTGGCAGAGTGAATCAGTGCACTGATTAAAATCAGATTTGCCCCTAGTGTCTTTCACTCATCTTTTATTTGTCCTATCTTTAAAGCATCAGAAAAATTAATATTTCAAGATAAAAAATCTTTTATCTAATCCTCTTTAAACAGCACATATGTCTGTAAGACCCTGAAACTACAGTTAGGGAAAACTCTGAACTGGCCATTCTGACTCAGCCATGGCCATAAAAGTTTCTACCTGGTTAAGCGGGGAAGAGGAAGAGTCAACGTGAGAAGGCTGGAGAAAAAAGCCTGCTGTACACCCCAGAGTGGAATATTCCAGTCGCTGCTAGGAGCTTCTTCCAAAATTACCAGTGACTACAAATCGTACACAATAACAAGACTATAGTTTCCAATATATTTTTCCTTTCAGCTATTAGAAACCATGTTTAGGCAAAAGAACACATTGCAAAAAATTAGATTACTTTATGTGTTATATGAATAGGCTTGTCTAAAGGAGAATCGAAGTATGAAAGGAATGTTCTTTAGCTGAAAGCACAACTGAGAGAATCATTTGAATGAAATTCAGCCAGTGATGGTATGATAGCTACAAACGAATAACCTCTGCTAATAAGTGGAACGTACCTCTCAATTATCACCATATATCACATTACATGCTTATAAAATGACCATATTTGGTAAAGAACAAATTATCCAAATAAATAAGTATATTTAGTTCATTCGTGACAACATACCAAAGTAAAAACTTTAATTAAACATGCTTTCGGGGGAGGATAGTCTATCCTGATTAAAGTTAAATTATTCATCTTAATTTTGATTAGAATCAGAAAAAGTACTCTGTAAGAGTTATGTATCATGTGACTATCAATTACTGAAAGATAATAATTTTAACTCTACATAGCACACAAACTCCAGATTTTATGTAAAATTCAGTTCACATATTCAGATTGTATTGCAAACTTACTCTAAATGAAAATGAATATATCCTAATATTATTTCAGTAAACAGGTTTTATAGCTAATCATTTTTTGACATAATTTTTCAGGGTAAATTTCCAATAAACTTTTATAGTACAAATGATAAAATTATGTCCCTATCAAGTTTCCAGGGCTATTTCAGCAGCTAAAGGATCTATTTCTTTGTAAGTATATATGTAACACCCAGGAAATTTAAAGAGCAAGAACAGAATTTTTAAGTGTTTAATGCCTGGCAAATGAAGCACATCTGTTAGGTACTACACAAACTTGATCTCATCACTTTTTTAGAACAGATTTACTGATTCTAATGTTTTACTTTATGGGTAATTTTTCTTCCAAGCAGAATCTGAAAGCCTGTAGGCATTGGATTCTTTTGTCCAACGCTTAGGTTACTCTTAGAAGGGCACAAAGTTTATTGCATATTAACATTCCACAAGTATTCAAACTCCTATCTGTATAGGCATTTCCAGGTGGGCTGATGTTTATAGAGTTTGTGGTTAACAGCTCAGGAGAGCAATCTGTTAGGCGCTATAATAAACACTGTCAGTGACTGGATAGGGAGACCATCAGCCCCTCCCCCAGCCCACCCATTACTCATTCATCACCCTAAAACTTAAAATGTCACAAAGCTGGGAATGCTTCCCCATCCCAGACCAAAATTTAAAAGGGACATTACCTGGCTGGGTTTCAACTCCATATAGCTTGCTTGCAGGTGGCTTTGACCAGTAGGCTGAAGAAACACTACTCTTTGCTGCTGTGAATTGTACCCCAGACACTGCCCCAGGGCTGCCCCGAAGATCCACAGCCATCCCACACTCTGGGCTGACCACCTCACTGCTGGGGGCATCCTGGTCCCTGGGCGTCCTGCTGGCTGCATGCAAACCTCTGTCTCTTCCTCTTATACCAGCCCTTCCTGCTCGGTGCCCAGGCCCGCCTGACTCAGGTAAGGCAGGCTGTCTGCGGCAGGAGGCCCCACCTGTAAACTTCACCTATGAGTCAGCCTGTGAGAGAGCACACATAACAGTTCCATATGGAAGTGCACCGCTCTGTAATCCCTGCGAGGTGGGGCAAGCATCACCTTCTACCCACCTCGCCCCACAGACAGACGGCACTAGCCGATTAGAGCGGCTGTAAATCACAGGCTGAGTCATGCGTGCGAAGGACACGCCCTGGGCAGGAGGGTGGTAAGCTGTTCCACTCT